CCGTGCCGTCCCCCTCGCGGGGGGTCGACCCCAGCCCGCCGCCGCCAGGCGCCAAGCTTCTGAGGTGCTGGGAAGAGAAAGGGCAGAGGGCACTGACGGAGAGCGAGAGGCGACTGAGCCCGCGGGGCAGGGAGCAAGGGAGAGCGGGGGCGGGGACGGGGGCGGGCGCCGCCGCCACTGCCACCGCCACCGCGAGGGAGCCCGACAGCACGGGATCCCCAGAGAGCCCACCTCGTCCCTGCCTCCCTCCCTCCGCCGCCTGGGCAGGGGTTGCCTGAGGTGAGGCGCATCCGCGTGCGCGCCCCCGGCCCCGCTCGCGTGCGCGTTCACAGTTTAGGGCGAGGGGCGGGGGCGGGGGTCTCCAGGCTCCCGCCGCGCAAGGCGCCTAGGGCGGACTGCGCAGGCGCTCCGCACCTCCGGGGCTGGGAATCTTCTTCCCACAGAGTGAAATTCAGTGCATTGTGACTTCGGCCAAGCTCATCTCCACGTGTGCCTTTTACGGTTCGCCCCTTCTCCCCACTCTCACCACGTCGCCCGAAACGCACGCGCAATCCTTTTACACATGACCCGGCCCAGGACATCGTCTTCGTCATCCCCCACCGTGGACGTTACTGGCAGGAACGTCATGATGCTGTTAACATGACCAACAGGATTCTTGGCAAAATAGTACCTCGTCCTTGCTGAGTCATAGCATGCAGTTTTGTTTCTTCAACAGGTACTCCATCTTGCCGAGCATCTTGGCACACTACACAATTTGACCCTTTTCTCAACCCCCTGATTACATTTTACCTAACCTCTTTTCCTCATTCTCCTCATCACCAGACTTGCAGCCTACTTCCTTGGGCCTTTTGTGTTTTGATTCATGGACACCTAAGGACTGGGGAACCACCCCACGGCTCTCCCACCCTCCGCACTTGCACCCTTCACTGTCTTTTCCATTGATGAGCGTTGCTTGGGGCTGGGGAAAACATGCACTGGAAATCCCTTTGTAGTTGATATTCCCATGTTAAAAAGCCTCTTGTGCGACTCTAGCGAAACCACTTGTTGCCCTCCCACCTCTCTGGTCACTCTGACTTCCTGGTCAGGAAATGCCACCCCACACCCCCAAATTGAACAGCTTCGACCCTTCCCCCTCTCTTTTACTTCTAGCGCTTGATCTTCTAGTGGCCATATAGCAAAGACCTCTGATGTCCCCTAACGTTTGTCCTATTGCAACTTAAATGTCTTTGTCCCTCTCTCTGATCGACACTCTTGGTATCAGCCAAGGGGGATCATGAAAGCCTGCTTTTCTCTCTCTTTTTTTTAGAGGTTTTTGCTATAGGGCGTGTGCGCTCGCCAGACAGACAGAGAGCAGAGAGACAGAAAGCGAGAAATCCCCCCCCAGGGGGGATGGCCACGCCGCAATCCCTTCTCCTCCGTTCTCCTCTCGGGATCTTGGGCACGCACACACACACACACGCCCGGCGTGAGTTTTAAGCCACCCGGGCCGGGACACGAACCGCGGTCGACTACATGGGAGTCCAGCGACATAGCCATTATGGTAACTGCTGGTCCCATGAAAGCCTGCTTTTCCAAAGGAAGAATCCCTTCATTCAGGGCAAGGGGACTCTGAGATATAAATGGTAGGTAGTGGTGAAACATATGACAGTTTTGTTCCAATGACAGTTTTGTTCAGTTTCCCGGGGTCTGCTTGACTTCATTTATATCCAGAATAACTTGTAAGAAATGATCCTATTCCCAAGGGCAATTGATATCTGCAACAATAAAGTGTAATGTGACAAACATGCATGGGTCGTACAGGAAGCAAACGATAAGATGGAGGATGCTGCTAACAGAGACTCTACTGCCACTGATGACCATATTTTAACCATGTACTGAGCACTTGAAAAAATTCATCAAAGTAATAAAACATATTTGGCTGGCTCTATTCCTCATAAATACACAAATGATGTTAAACAGCGAGGAAACATTTCTCTGTGATCAGGATTAAGACAAGCAGGCCTGCTATCACCAGTATGAGAGGAGTTCATTTTGAGGAAATATGAAATTAAAGTACAAGTTCATTTGGGTACAAAAAATGTTAAATCTATACACAGTTTTCTCATCATATGCATTTTTATAAACTTTCTGGACACCGTATCATTAAATATTGTCTTACAAGTTCCTTTTGCATTGATTTGAGTTCATAAAGTGAACAAGATTTTTTCGTATTGGTAAACAAAGTTCCTGCCATTTGCAGATGATATGAATGTGTCCTTGGGAAACATGTAAGGAAAAGTGTAAAAATAAATTCCTGTGAGTGAAAGGATGAAATATTGGTATTTAAGATAGCAGTTGTGGTGCCAGCAAGTAGCATGGTGGTTAAGGCTCTGGATTTCCACATGGCCCATCACGGCTGGAGTCCCGGACCCGACAGCTTGAAAATCACGCCAGGGGCCGTGTGCATGTGTGCCCAGAGTCCCAAGAGGAGAATGGAGGAGAAGGGATTGTGCATGGCCATCCTCACAGGGGCTGATTCTCACTTTCCTTCTCTGTGGCGACGGTGCACATCCTAGACATGCAACACAATAAAGAGTAAATGTTAAAGTGAGCATTAATTAATAAAATAGCAGTTGCTTTTGAGCACACCAGCAGTAATCATGTAGGAAACAAAATGGAAATCGATGACATTCAGATCGGCAATATCCACCACCACACAAAAAATAAAATAACAAAGGATCAATAAAGATGTGGTTAGGACTTTGTAGTAGAAAAGGATCAGACTTCTCAGAGCTTTGAGATATAATTTGAATAAAACAAGAGGCAGTTAAGCAAGCTTAGGAGATTGACTGGTGTCCGGGGGGCAGGCATGGTCCAAGGCATGGTCCAACCAGGACTAGCCACATTGAAATCTAATTCACAGTTGCCAGGTACTATTTCCTTGTCTCAGCAGAGGTGCCGTTTCCAGGCTGTTCCATCCCTTACACATCAGTCTGTGCCTATGCAGTGTGCCTCTGCTGGGGCCATATTTACTGTAAGCAAGAGGAACAGTAACGTTCTAGTATGGGAAGTAGTATTGGCAGGGATCCTATGAGCCAAGTCACAGCACGTTTCTGGATACAGAGATCCACAACGTATGGGTTTCAAACAATACCGAAGAAATTTTCATATTAGGCGTTTTATTACTTTTCAGTTTTTGTTTTTTATTTATCTTATTTGATCTGCTACAGGGTGTGTGTACTCTCTGGAAAGAGAAAGGGGTGGAGGGAAGTGAGAAAGCAACCTCCAGGGTGTATGACCATGCCACAGTTCCTTCCCATCCATTCTCCTCTTGGGATTTTGGGCACACACACATACACGCCTGGCATATTTTTCACGCTGCTGGGTGAGATACTCAAACTGCCCAGTCAACCATGTGAGATCTAGCCGCCTTCACCAGCACATCACGGGTTGGCCCCATGTTATTCGTTTGTGTGTGTGTGTGTGTGTGTGTGTGTGTGTGTGTATGTGTGTGTGTGTGTGTTTATCATGATTTCATAAAATATTTTTTATATTCACCTGTTAGGGTTATAGGGCAACAAGAGCTATGACTTTTATAAAGAAGAATTAATGTCGTTTTGAAGGGAATAGGATTCTATTATCTGGATTATCCATGTTTTAAGTACAAGGAGACTTTTAAAGTTCAGGGAAAAATAAAATTAAAGTACGAGTTTATTTTGGTACAAAACATGCTTTGAAATCCACACGTAATGTTTTCAAAATATGCGTTGTCATGAACTTTTGGAAGACACTCTGTATCTTTGTGTAATTCATAATCACTGTAATAGCAGACTTTTATAGTAACATCTGCACTTTTTCATACCAACCTGTATCCCCTCATAAGTTGTCACAAGGCTTGGTCTTATAACTTACTTTGTCCAGTGAGTCAATAGCAAATGTGGAAAATGCAGAGAATTTGAAAGTACTTGCACAATGGGGTTTCTTTCTCTTTTTGCTCATGAGACGCTCTGACAGCAACGTGAAGAAGTGCAGGATAGCCAGACCATGAGAGTCATGGCCCATTTATCCAGTTCTCACCTCAGCTCTTGGTGAGCTCATTGCCCAACATATGGGTGAGGCCATCTTAAGGGCCATTTGGCTACCAGCAGAGCTGCAGTAGCTGAGAGGACACTAGCCACAGGTGCACAGGTAAGTCTGGCCGGGAACAGCAAAAGAACTTCTTGGACAGGCCCGCTAAATTTTGACCTGCACAATTGTGAACAACGACAATAACAAAAAACAATTGTCGTAGAAAACACTAAATTCTGGGGCACTTAACTATGTGTTAAAAGCTGACACGACCATTAACCTCTAGCCATCAAAGCGAACTAAAAACAATCAGAAAATGTTTTTCCTAGTAGAAATTTAACCTTTGTTTAAAGAGATGTGCGTTTAACTTTCCCTAGAGTCAGAAGGAAAGGGATGAAGTTATGACATCAAATATTTGTCGAGTGCAGTCTATGTGACAGGACCAGTGTTAAGCCCTGTATCCCATTTAACTGTTACCTCATTAACTTGGTGGGTAAGACAGTTATGCTGTCCATTTTATAGAAAAGAAAATCAAGGCTGAGGTGGAGTTTGTATTGGAAATCAAGGCTTTCACGTCCCTCTAGTGTGTACTTAAACATCATCAGGTCTGGTCAAAAAGAATACTTTTATCCAGAGCTATAGTTTGCTGTGGTCTTCCTCTTTGATGATGTTGCGAATTGACCTCTTAGGTAAGGCCACTGAGTTCAGTGGAAGGTATTTTCCATCGTGGTATCCTTCTGCATACTGTGGTGAAAAGCACCTCTGAGTGCCTACCTCACTGCCAACAATGGATGGCTGTGTCATCGTGACAT